TTTATACATTATTAATATTTAAAAAAAGTAATTTATAGTAAAATAATAAATTACATGACATTTCTATTAATAAAAGAATTATTTTAACATTAAAAATTAAAATTTAGGGACAATCTTGATTTTTTTTAAATTAAAAATTGCATAAATCCAAAAATCAAAAGATTAGATGAGTATTTAAACTAACAATAAACCACAAATGCTAATCCTATAATTACAATATTGTAAATTTATAATTATAAAATAATATTAAATAAGTATAAAATTAATAAATATATATAATATTATAAATTAATTTTTAAATAAAAAATTAATAATATTACAAAATATAATATTGAAAATTTACGTAACTATTGCATTTTGGGAATGGATGGGCTGGTCTAATCAGTCATCACTAAAATTTGAAATGAGTAATATGACGTAAAATGAATATTCTCGCTGATAGTTTGGGTCATTGGGCTTGGCTAGGTCATGTCTAAGATGGACGACTCATCTGCCCATATTAGAAGTTTTGGATCGACATGGACAAGGATTCGCTTTGGACCCGTAGACTAGATTTTCCTTTTTTTTTTTAACTAGGAATAAATTTAGAATAATGATACAGGATTGATTCTTGTGCGCCAAAATTAAAGGACCACTTATGTGGCTTCCCATGTATACAGAAACATAATCCCATTTTAAATAGATCATTAAGAATTTTGTATATGTGATAAGCCACATAAGTGATTCTTTAATTTCGTTTTACAAATATGGTCCCTATATCATTATTCATAAATGCATAGGGAGAGGATTCCAATTTCAACCAATCATTTTCTCACATACAAAAATATAAACATCTAACCTATCACTTGGATTTATTAATAATGAAGTTTTGTCTAAGATATATTTAGAATTTGAGTCTTATGGTAACTACTTTAAAAAATTAATTTTTTAAAATACATTAAATTCAAGTAGATAAAATATTTTTAAGTTCATTTAAGAAAAATTAGTTTTAAAATATGTAAAATTTAACTTCAATTAAATACAAAAATCATATCAAATTTAAGTAAATATTTAGCACTTTTTTTTTTCTAATACTACACCTTCCAAAAAGAGGCAAAAGCCTAAGAATAACCTCTTACCTTGATAAGTTGGATAGTTTTGGCCCCTCACCTTATAACATAACGGTTTTAGCCCATAACCTATAAGAATGGAAGAAAATAGCCTTTTTTTGTAACTTCCGTTCATTGGGCTGTTACTGTCCGTCACTTCCGTCCCTTCCTCCATTATCTTCTCGTTAACTTTCTCAAAACTTCTCCAAGAAGCCTGCTGTATCTTTTTTGGGAATTCAAACTTTTTTTTTTTTAGAATTCTAACATTTTTTTTTACCTTTATTTTTAAAGATGGCTGCACATATATTACTTGTATATAATTTTTACATATTATTAAATAAATAGATATAATTAATATTATA